ATTTAAACTTGTTGTATTACTCTATCATATAATACATTTCTGTAAATGAGCATTTCTTACACTTGTTAGATTGTGGACAAAGCCAGAGAAACATGAAACATTTAAAATGGAAAGTTCATTGAAGCTGAATACACATACAAAGAATTACAAAAATGATTAAATGTAGCTCTGAGGGCCAAACTTCAAAAATTCATAAGTACAAAGTATTTGGAGTTGAGCTGGAGGACTTTGCACCGGCCCATGAATTTAAAAGTTTTCACATGATGTGTTTTTTGTCGAGAACATCTTTTACATTCATTGGGGATTCTAGGTGAGTTGGTATGAAATGACCCATTTCTCAGTACTGGTGTAAAAATATTGCTCAATATAATTCGATACAAATTTAATACCCTGTGCTTTCAATTTGCTAATGTAAGAGTTGTAGCAAAATTGAAGAACTTTATCACAGTCTTTAGTCCTCTCTTGGGTGATGCATTCGCCACTTATACCAGCTAAGCACTCGTACTATTTAGGGTCTACTCTAATGATTCAAACCTAATGATGCTCAGCAGCATCGAAAGTAATCAGTGATGCTTATTTAAAAGCCATTTGCAACAAGCTCAGCTGGAATGTATCCAATATGTGTATGCCTTTTTAAAGAAAAGTTAGCACAGAGGAAGAAAAATATTTACTATAGTACTATATCATGTAGCAATGCTTCTTAAAGGAGGAAGGATTTTGCCATAGACATAAAAATAATCTGAGCAGAATAATATGAAATGTAAATGCTGAATAAACTGTTTTTCGATTAACAAACTGTGGGCAGAAATACACATTAAAATGTCATTTGAGTGCAGCCTTCACAGGTCATTGTCCCCTACCTGTTGCCTGCTTTTGTTTATGCGGTGAGGACCACACACAGAGAGACAGTTGATTCTGATGAGGACTTAGTTGTTGCGACCTGTTTGTCTTTGTGCGCAGCCCCTCAGCTTTCAGATCATGTTTCCGCTTACATCGATTTGAATGACAGGCACGAAGCAGCTAGCACTAGTCAGCCATTAGAAAGTAATCACTGGAGAAGTGTTAGAGCTGGATAGAATTAGAATTGACAGACATGTTTAAATGCGTGATAAGGGATCTTTGATACAACGCCTGCATCCAGTTGTTGCCATGGCTGCCAATTTGAGACTATTATTAGGAAATTGGGGGCAGAGGTGTTCAGTGATGTATTTTACACTCCCTGGATATTGGTGGTGAAATGTCACCAACTGAAAGGAATAAGTGTTTCAAATTCACCTGGAAAAGTTCTCCATTCTCTTCATTGCCAACAGTATTTGTTAGACAAAACTTTAGATTTTTTAAAGTGGACTCTATATTCCTATGTTTTTGTGACTAATACTCGACTCTCTGATATCAGACATAATTGTAAACACGTCACACTCCGTTTCCATCTTCAGTCTGAGGGTGCTTTCAGAACTAGAGTTCGCTTACTTTGGTCCGAATCAGGGACTAGTTTTGGTACACAGTTGCATAACTGCCTAGAGTTGGTTCGTGTTCATATTTACAAACAGGCCAGATAAAATGCCTTGTGTGAGAAAACTGCCCTTGATTGGTCGGAATTTCCATGCGGGAAAAATCCAGGAAGAAAACAAAACACTGAAGAAGAGTACACTTGCAAGATAAATGTGACACTTTCTAATGTCACAATGGAGGGACAACTACGCAGGTTGATTTTAGCGCTGGTCATTGTAGACTATATTGCTGTCATTGTTCATCTTAGTCAAACCATACAGTTTGAAAACGAGGCGCGGCTCCAACTAGAAAACAATGTTTTGATGCCTTGGATGCGCTGAATGTGCATATTAAGGCAGTACAGGAGGAGGTGCACATTAATAATCCTCCACAACCATAACATGCTTATGTTTAACCCAAACAATGCATAATGTGACTGCAGTTGGTTCGAATCAAGGTCGGAACACGTTCTTACCACAAACATATCATGCCAGAGTTCGTTTGTAACCGGACCAAGACCACCTCTTCAAGAAGGTCTCTGTCCGGTTGTTTTGGTGCGCGCTGAGTGCAATTTCTGTTTTCACACCTGCCCAAACAAACCACATTTAGGGGGCAAACGAACTGAACCAAACAGGGCAGGTGTGAAAGCACCCTGACATTGCCTCCAGTCTGATTTCCATTGGGGAGGGAGATTTGATTTTCCCCAACCAATCACCAGACACATTTTCACCTGAATCTACAACATTTTTAGTCCATTGTGGGTTTGTACAATTAGCACGCCAGTTTACACCTGTAGTGCACCAAGAAGGCAAAGTCTGTACAACATTTGACAGTTATCAGAGCCGGCAGATATGTCATATCTGTCACTAAATTTCAGCGGCGAGAGCAGTATTTATGTTGCCATGACCACGTGGCTCACACAAACACAAAAAAGTTAAGGGAGATTGATATGACAGAGAACTGTTGGACGTCATTCAGACTTACATAAAATCACATTGTAAACATCACTTTGGCTTTTGCCATGTATGCCAATGTTGGTTGTTTTGTCAGCTGATGGTTGTTGCGGCTGGCTGACAGTACACTCCATCTAAATAGCATTCCCGGCGGATGGAGAGACAGAGAGGGGAAGAGAAGGTGGAAGTTGAATTATTGTACAATGTCACTGGAGCTTACTACACCGGTGCTTTGTCACTTATTGACCCCACCGCCCGAAACCCGCAACGTGGGACCCATGGGCTCTGGGTCAACCTGCACATGTCAGGCACTTCCAATCACAATCTGAACCTGTCAGTGGCAAAAAACAAACAGTTTCAGTGGACCTAAAGTGGCGGTGCACAATTGTCCATAGGGATAACATTGCAGCCTGTTTTGTCACTGTGGCTAGAGCAGTCTCTCAATAATGGACCACCTTCAAAAATAGTTGTCTCCATTTGTCATTTAGACGTGAAAACAGGGGAACTAATGGACAAGGTTAAAAAAAATACTAAAGCGTCCCTTTAACTGTAACTTTAACACTTGTAATTTACTGTGATTTATGCTCATATATACTTGTATGATTTAAGAATTCCACATTTTCTCACATGCCAGTGTAGAAAAGAGGATTATAGTGCACAGTCCTGTGCTGACTAGATGGATCCCCTGTTGGTGTAGCTCAGTTTTCACAAGTCTTGACAGCAATATTTACAGTATGAGTACTTCCCACTCATAAGAAATAAGAGACAGGTCTATGTTTAGTGGCTGGGTATGAATTTGTCATGCACAGATTTTTCAATTTTTTTGCCAGACTTCATGCTCAGTGAACTTTATGCAGCATTGCCTGGGGTCTATCCAGCCAAGCACTTGAACTGACAGAACCTTTGATGCATCAGTGCCCATACCCACACATCCTCGCTCCGTGTGGCTTTTTTTTATTCTCTTGCCTTCCTGCTTTTTATTCCGTTGACATGGGAAACCCCCCACTTCTTTTCCAGTGCTTTCGAAGAATGACTCAAATAATTCATCAATGACTGCTGCTTGTCTCTAAGCCTCTGTGGTGGGCGTTGCAAGCCAGAATATTTGAAATATCTCAGGTTCAGCAAGCCAAGTCTCTGCAATGCTTTGTATCTGAAAGAATCACCTTAGTAGCTGCAATAAAAAGTCAGCCTGCAAGACTGTGTGTAAAGATGGTAAGCCTCATTGATTTTTATTTGTCACACTTGAATGTGTAAACCAATAAAACCACATTTACAGATGGAAAATCACCCTTATCATATGTGACTGATCAGTGCAAGGTGAACATGTTTTTGTGGGACCATAAAAGTAGAGAAATGTTTCAATGCACTGTTACCCACATAATGGTTTTGGGTTTTTTTTTTTTTTTTGATTACCCTCTCCGCCTTGCTCTTGTTTTATAAATGTTTCTACCAAAAGCCAAAGGTGAAATGGTGACAGGGTGTCCGTGGGGTCTTAAAAAGTATTAAAAGTTGATAAATCAAATGTCGGAAAATTAAGGAGGTATAAAATTTTCTTGGCATTCAAGCTTTGACAAAAAGTATCAATGAATGTATAATTTATTTTCCTCCACGCGACTATTACAAACAACGATGTGTAGGTAGGCACACTTGGACTGGAACATGAAATCTTATATGCCTAACAGACATTGCTTCTCGTTCTTTGAGTTGACATATTGCTAAAGGGGAAAAAAACAACCGTAAACAAACGGCATGATTAGTGTTGTGTTCAAGGTCCCCCCAAAAAACGGGAGAAAAAAAGGCCGATTTTTTTTTTCTTTTCTTTTTTTCTTTTTTTTTCACCATCGAATCCCGTGCCATCGAACGAAGCTTCGAATTTTTTGGGTCAGCCCTAAATCCCACATGCAAGGGGCTAGCCATAAGGTTGTTGTTTTCAAGTTGGCCTTGAATAGTTGATGTTGAGCTGTAGAGCTGTGTTACTTGTTATGACCTAAGGTGTATTTTAATAAACCTGCCTTTGGTTTAATTTATTCTTTCAAGCTTTATTCCTTTTCATCTTATCTGAGTTCTGTTGTATGTTTGTGCTACATAGATTTAATTGCAAACTACAACTATTTAGTAAGTTAAAGATGCATTGCTGCTAACAACAGCTTGAAGTGGCGATGAGGTCTGAAGGTTTTTTTTTGGAAGGTCTTAAAAAAGTCTTAAAAAGGTATTGAAATTAACCTCAGGATTCCTGCATATACCCTGGGTGACTATGAGATACATACAAACACAACAATCTGGACATATGTTCTATGACGTGAGTTGATGGATGGCATTGATACCCTGTTCTCTGCATGGCCACATGTTTTTTGACAGACACTTTATCACTTTCAGTGGCGCCAGGATTTAACCTCGACTGTTGCTCTCTGTTGTCACGTTGCTCTTGATGACCATTTGCATTTTTGGACAGTTACCCATCCCTCTGTAATTTTCTCATACAAACACACACAAAAACACAGCTGTTGTTCTAATGACCTCATGAGTAATGAGCCCGTTTCATCTGTGTGTTACCAGTGTGATCCAGGACAAGTTCTGTGGCATCATTAACATCTCCGTTGAGGCGCTGCATGATGTAATGACTGAAGATCCAGAAACAGGCACCTTCAAAGAGTAAGTATCCATGTTTATTACTAACTGAGCAAGGAGTAAATCAAGAAAAACAACTGAATAAATAATTCATAAAATATAAATACATAAGTAGTGATGAACCCATTGAAATAGATTGAGAGTAGAGTGGACATTGAACTGTTTGCTGTCATCCTTTGACTTGTTCAAAAGAAAATAGCGATTGTAAGTTGTTGTGGTCACAACGCATGCAAGGGCAGTCATGAAGTGTGACACTCACTAGTTTGAGAACTCTGTTTGGCCCATTTTTACACATTTTTTCCTAAATAACCAGCAAAATACTACCGCACACCCATCCAGGTTTCCGAACTTAGACTTAGCTCAGTTGCTTTGTTAACTCATGTAAAACACACTTCATTAAAACTAGACAGAAATAAAATAAAACTTAGTCATCTAGTTAGTTACTCCACTGTTCCAACAATTCCCAACTCTGATTTAGTTCAAATAAACCCTTAATTCACAGAGCCAGATGTAAAAACATGCTGATGTGCATGATGTACACCCCTGCAGTCTCTCTGCCTTTCAGCCAGTGCCCACTGAGCAGCGGCTCTCACTCCTTCTTCTGGGGCCACTACAGTTTCACTTGACATGTTTCAACAAACATGCAATTAATGGCAAGAAAAGAAACGGGGAAGAAAGTGATACGGGAATATTTGCAATTGCTTTTTTGAAAACGTAATGTTACTACTCCACCGCTTGGTTTGTCTTCATGATAAAACAGCAGTCAAAAACAAAACAGTGTGTGACAGCAACAGAAATATTTTACAGATGCATCCATATGGACTTCATTGCATTGAAGTCCATATGGACTTCAATGCAATGAGCCCTTAACTCATGACAACTGAGGGGAGTGTGGCAATGTCTGCTCTACCCACTCACCAAGTTTCACCAGCAATTCTTTCCAGAAGGGAAGGACCACAGGTCATTCCCACATAGCGTGCAAGAATAGGCCCATTGCATCCTTACACTTACAACAATTTCTATTGTGTATCAGGCCCATCCTAAATGGTTTTGAAGGGGTGTAATAGTATCTTTGTCTTGTGATGAATAAATTTACTTCTAATATCTCTTGTGGCCCAGCCCATACTGGATATTATATCCTCCCATGCTACCTCTCTAATATCATGTCCTACAAGTTGGTATGTTTATACTTGAGCTAGCCTGCTGCAACAGTTGCATTGGCAATGGTACACATAAATATACCCGACACTGACCGTCCTGCTATGTTGATGTGAATGGGAATATCATATCAATACTCTCATTGTATTTCTATTGATGCGCCTATACAATACTGACTCAAATAGCTGGATTGGCTATTGGTGACAATGACGCCTTTCTATTCAAGTCTGATTACAGATGCGTCTACTAGATGATGTGTCAGCAGTGTACTGGTAGATCGCATAGCTAAGGGAGCAAACAACTGTTGTCAACTGTTTGGCGGTGTTTCAGTCTTATATCTATGTATTTATTTGGAAGGTTTTGTTTTATAAAGTTAGAAAAGCAATGTTTAAGTCAAGCCTGATGTTGCCCCACACGTAAAGGAATGATCCAAGTCACTTCCATACAGTGAGACATACAGCTTATTAATTAATCACTGGTACAGGATCAGTACTCAGTATCTGCTGATTGGCAAAGGCCAGGTATTGTATCAGCACTTAAAAAGTCAGATTGGTGCATCCCTACTTCTAAATCATACAGTTAAACCTTCCAGACATTCTTTTCACGAGTGAATGGAGTTCGTAATTTTGACAAAGCTCATGCATGATGAATGAAGACAGTTGAAATATTTGTTTTGAAAGTACTTGAAGCAGTGCGACTGCAGATGTGCTGTTGAATTGTTGTTTGGATTGATCAAAAACAAACCTCTGAAAAAAGATTTGAAGTTAATGATATAAAAGCAGTCCCCCACTTATGGAGCACTGCTGAAGGAGGCTGAGTGGCAGTGTTGGATAGGACACATTTCTCCAGAAAAATAATGGACTGTGAAATGGCCCAGAAAACAAATGCTCACTGTGGGAGGACACACTTACCACAGCCCCCCCTTCGACTGTGACTCTGCTCTGCCCCATCACTCTCCCCTCTGGCTCTCTGTCCCAGCAGCAGGGTGCTTATTTCTTAGTAGATGTTAACCTACATGCAGACACCTTTTCTCTGCTGTCAAAAATGCTCAGCGTCCTCCTAAAATGTGCCGGCATGAAATTAACTGAAAAGTTGGGTAGAGAGGTTAGTGTAAATACTTCTTTATTTGCCAGTGATGTGTTGAATTGTTTTGGTTCCCTGTTGTGCGTTTGAAACGGACAAAAACATATTTGTGGATGCATGTTTTATTCACTGTTTGTAAATGCAATCAACTGAGACAGAAAGCGCTGGGTATTGTAATCTTCCTGCCTGTATTTAGGAATTAAGTAAAGTCTCAAATAAACAGACTTTCCTTTTATTCCTCTGCTGCCATAAGTGGTTTAGGATTGTTCTTGCGTGGTGTGGAATAACAATGAAAGTCCTTGCTGCCATGGATAAATGCAGTACAAGCCAGTTGGCAAACCAGTTCAGCATGGTACTCCAGTGTTGTTGTAGAAATGTAGTCAGTTGTCACTTAGCTACTGTAAAAGGAATTAAAAGTTGTAATGTCTTTTGCACTGTACTCAGCTGGACAGAAATAGAGATTTGATTACCGAAACCTAATGAGTGAAGAATTGGAAAAGTTGAAGTTGCAGTTCAACAAAATTGGAACTGCAGAAATTTGGGGAAAAGGGGGATAATAACGTGGCCATATTAGAGCTGGCCGATACGACGACTATGTACAACTATGTATCAATGTATTTTCACCCCTTAAAATGCCATAGGCTTGTGCTAATAATGTTAGCATGTTATATTTGTTTGGAAAAAGTGTTAAGTATTAGACAGTTGTTTTGTCAGTGAACCTTGTGAGTTATAATGGAGCTGAATTTTGTAATGTTACCTTTGTTAAATGTTGCTGTTTTCCCTGGCTTTATATGAGTAGAGTCCGTTAGCTGCTAGGCTAATTTGTACAATGTAAAATGCCATAGGCTTGTGCTAAAAAAAATAGCATGTTGTATTTGTGGGGAAAATGTGTCCAGATAAAGACAAGTGCTTTGTCTGTGAATGCTGCGAGTTATAGTGAAGCCGATTTGTGTCACTGTGTTTCAAATTGTCGTTTCAAGTTGTGTGATTTTTTTGGCCACTTGTGAATGCAGCTTTGAAATAAAGTCACCTTTTAAGCTGATCTGAAAAACTTGGTAGCAAACAGCTGCTTATATACACATCCAGCAGTGACAGAGCAACATTATTATTGGTTGGGAGTTAGGGCAGCTTGAATATGGCAAAAATTAACATTATTAACACAGTTACTCACTGACTTCCGTAGCATCATGCATTTATTAAACTTAAATAAAAAACAATTCTTGTCTTGAGGTGAACTAAACATGTCTGAGTCTGGCAGAGAGTGAGTTTGGTTTTAGGGGCGGTGAAGGCACACTGCTGTAAAGGAAAGAAAGGGTGTCAGGGACAAAAACAAGAGTATCATTGCAAAACAGACTGTGGCATAATATTTGTTTTATCTTGACTTTCTGTTTTTCGTAATCTTTGAAAGCCTCATAATTAAAAATAAAATTTGATTAAACACCCAGCCCTGTTTGGAGAAGTGTCTCTGATGAATTGTTAGCCCAATTTTCATTCTCTCTTAGCTTTGTTTTTGGTCACCAACTCCTGAGGGAAATATCTGGCTCTTTAGCTGCTAAATGATCCACTATGTTCACCAGCTAGACACTAACTGTGTCTGTCTGATGTTTAGTGTTTTTCCACTGAAAACAGCCGCCTGCTGTGTCCAAAAATGATATGAGACCAGTGCTAGTGAATCAGAACAGTGTAGTTACAGGCCAAAATTGAAAAAAAAGCTTTGTAAATTTGAGGGAGGCTGCAGATTCTCTGAGAATTCTCTGCAGGTTCATCAGTAGGAGCGACCCCTTTCACACTGTTGCGTAGTTTTCACGTTGTCATTTCATGCATTATTATAGAAATATCAGTTATAGCCTTGATAAAGGCATGTTCGGCCCAAGAGAAACACCCAGTGGTAGTTACCTATGTAGTACCCACCATACACAAGAAGACTTTGAAAAGACTAGTTTGACACCTTCTCACATCTAAAGAAAATGTAAGTTTTCAGGTTTTGCAAAGACTGGGAAACTTGCAGGGTCACTATTTGCGGAACTACAACCAGATTTCCGTTGACATTATTTCCCATCATGCTCCTGGTGGAAAATATTACACCAACAACTCCCTTTAAGAAATATGACATATTAACCATTTCTGTAACACTTTACTTGAAGGTATCTACATAAGAGTGACACGACACTGTCATGACCATGACATGACACGGTCATGAACCTGTCATAAACGTTTATGATTGCTGTCATTAAGTGTCATTTGGTTTTTGTAATAACAAGTTGACATTAACCAGGATGACATTACCAGAAGATGTCGTTGTCATAACAAGTTGACATTAACAAGAAATGCACATCTTTTTGTGTTTATGACAAGTTGACATAATGATTATTATTGTTAAGACAAAGACAGATTCTGGTAATGTCATCCTGGTTAATGTCAACTTGTCATTTTAAGGACATCCCAAACAAATTTAATGTCAACTTGTCATGACAAAGACAACTTCTGGTAATGTCACTTTAATTAATGTCAAGTTGTCATAATCAAGACAACCCAAACAATGTCAACTTGTCATTACAAAAACTGAATGGCACTTAATGACAGCAGTCATAAACATTTATGACGTGTACATAACAGTTCATGACTGTGTCATGTAGGGATGTCCCGATCCGATATTCAGATCGGTATCGGCCGCCGATATTAGCAAAAAACGTGCATCGGCATCGGATCGGACTGCATGGAAAAATGCCGATTCAAGAACTCCGATCCAATTTTTCACGGAAAAAAGTCCGTGCCAGCCCAGCGCTCCGCGATTCAAGCAGTCCATTCCAGTGATCCGCTCCAGCACTTAATATCAATCCACCAGGCCAGCATGCAGACACACAGGAAACAGCAGCACCAGGTTGGCACTGTCACTACTAAAATAACTGAAAAGGAAAGGCTGCATTGTTTGTTAAATGTCAACAATGTCTTGTGGTGTTAATCTATTTTTTATTTATTAGGGGGCCAAAGCACAAGTGTGTGGAGTCTTGCAGCTATTTTAATTTCAATGTTAGACATTTTAAAGATTTCTTGTGTTGATTTATTTTCTATTTATTAAGGGGCCAAAGCAGCCAAAGCAAACCAGCTATATTTTTTATTTAATGTTAATGTTCAAGTTTAAAGTTTGTTTATTGAACCCTGTTAACAATAAACAGGTCAGTTTCTCATACCAACTGTTGTGGATCATTCTAACTAACCTGATTAAGTAGTTCTTCTTGTTAGAGTAATATTGCTTGATCAAACCTTTTCTAACATGACTGACATGACATGACTATGCGCTTGGATCGGATGAGTATCGGTATCAGCCAAAACTCAAGGCTGTAATATCGGGATCGGAAGTGAAAAAGCTGGATCGGGACATCCCTAGTGTCATGTCATAGTTATGACAGTGTCATGTCACTCTTATGTAGATACCTTCAAGTAAAGTGTTACCACAGTTTCCTATGTGTCCGCAAAAATGCATGAACCAAGACTATAAACATACAATAATATTAACCATATTTGGTTTTATTGTAATGTTAAGACAAGAAAAAGACTAACTAAAGGTAGCTCGGAGTTTTATGACCAAACGATAGAGACCGACGATTTTATTCTGACATTCGAAATTTGTTTGTATGTGAAGTTACTTGATAAGTCGTTTGGTGTACGACCTGTATGAGCTGTATTTCCTAACATCAACTTGTCTCTAGCTGTTGGATTAAATTTCATCACTTAAAGTTCAGGAAGAATTTACTTAAAATTTCTGATCACGAGTTACCAAATGCTACATGTCAAAGTCACTAAATGTGACACTGGAGACCCCGCTACCTTATCTCGTCTCACAATAAGGATGAAGTAAAAAGGACAAAGAAAATAAAAGACCCTACGCAGACTTTGGACTGAGCACAAAGGTTTCGCTTGTAATTCTCTCTGCATGCTGATGAACCAATATGAATAGACGGCAGAGCTGTGTACTAGAGTGCCAGAGGGTTCAGCCTTTTTTTGTGTGCCTGCATGTGTGCACGCCGCCTGTTCTGAAATTGTCTCCAACTGTGCAGGTTTATGTGTGGTTATTAATATTGAGTTGAATATTATTGTGTTTGCAGCTGCATGCTGATGAGCCATTTTGAGGAGCCGAAGCTGAGTGATGATGAGGAGCCGCCAACCGAGCAGGACAAGAGGAAGAAACTGGTCAGTCTCACACACACAGCAGGGTTCTAATTTTGCAATCATTAAAGCCCTTTGTTCTGTTGTTCCCGTCTCATTTGATATTTAAGACAATAGCTTCAATAATGTAATGATGCTGTTCATTTCACTGACGTGTCTCCGTGTCCTCTGATGACAAAAATAACCCTTGTGTTGTCCTTTATGTTACACTGACACTCATCATACATGATTGTTTGTAATAATGCCCATATACAGAAAAAGACATACAGCTAAAAACACGAACTGAAAGCTGTCCTCAGCGAGCACAGAAAAAGATGGCCACTACAATCGTTAGTCACATACCAATTCAGAGCCACATCTCCGCTTCAATAGCTGCTCCAGCTTTTCATGCAGCACACCACATAATCACTTTTAAGTACAGCCCCTGGATGCAGGCATGTGTCACAGAAGCTTGCAGTAAGCTCAGAGTCACTTAAGGTAAGCATAGATGTTGTTGAGTTCCTATAAACGGCCCCTAGGTGGAGGATGAATACCAATTAAACAGTACAGCGATGTATGTATGAGGACGCATCCCTCTGCTACTCTGACACCACAGTGTGAGAAGCTATTAAATTGTAACACTACTTCACATTGTAAAAATATTGTTTAGTTTGACGTCGGTGTTTGTGTGATTGAGTGGTCTTCTCCAAATGAGTGCCTGAACAAAATTTAATTTATATACAAATTTAATTTCATTGGTGTCTGAATGCAGAACTACAGCTGTATTTATTTTGTAGTGCGACCTTGTGTGACTTTTTCCTGTGTGTGTGAGTATGTGTGCATTCGCTGGGCGGTATCCCAGTGCACTTATCACCTCAGCCCAGACCCTGACTTTTTGCTCCAGGGAATAGAGGAGAGGAGACTTAAAGTCGCACCTCTCTCTGCTTCTTAACGCATGTGGTTGTGTGTGTGTGTGTGTGTGTGTGTGTGTGTGTGTGTGTGTGTGTGTGTGTGTGTGCGTGCTCGGGGACGTGCTTGAACGCATGTGTGAGTGTGACGGGTGTGCCCACGTGAGACAGTTTTCAGTTTGAGGAGAAAGTTAATGAGGAAGGAGACCCGTGGCATATTTGAGCATTTATTGACTTCAGTTTGGCTTTCTTGTGGCTGATCTCCTTGGCAGGTGTGTGCGAATCTGTGTAAAAGCATTTATGCGTATAAAAATGTGTATGTTTGTGCTCGTCTGAAAGAGCTTGGGAGAGACAGATGATATTGTTTGTTCTTGCACTTTCTCGTGATAAATAACCTCAAACTGTCTCGTTTGTGCATCAATGCCTCACTTTGATTAATATATTCAGGTAATGCAAAGTCTGTGAGGAATCAATCAAAACAACATGTAATTTTGTAGTTATTAACCCTATGGGCCCGAACGACGCATAGTGCGTCCAAATTCACACCCGTTCTTCTCTGTGGATTTTCTCCACGACCATGCATATCATGTGAAACAGCGGAACTGTAGCTTTCCGGCAAGGCCAAGCATTTGACGGTAATCCAATATTTTTGCAGCGAAAAAAATTGATAAAGTTACAATAAAATGATGTATAACAGAGCTTTCATACAGCTTTGCACACACATTAAAATTGGATGGATTACTAGCAAATGAAGGATCACACAGAAATGCCACACATATCACATAAAAGCGCAGGACCAGAGCTTTCCAGTGATACCACACACATCATTGTGCTGTCATCCCATCATGCTATAAATACAGATCAATTGTCTACAAAATAAAAACATGACGAATTTCTTTACAATCCATTATACAGATCTTGTTATCAGTCACTTCATATAGTGAGGAATATCATATCTTACCACGTCTTAGGCTTGCGTGTGTTTCTCCCTGTCTATCCACATTTGTAGTCCGGCTTTCAAGATGCAAATATCTCCATATTGTCCAGTTGACACTCCATCAAACTTTGTATGACAAGACCAGCCACTTCACCTTTGCGCACCCAGACAACTGTAGCCTAATTATGCATGCATGACAGGGCCGTAGTCACCATATACATTGAGGGAGACACGTGCCCCCCCACCAATCCCCAAAATGTCCCCCCAATATATAACTGAAACTGAAAAAAAAATATTATCTTGGAGGACATCATTGCACTTGGTTGACTATTTTTCTATTATCTTAGATGTAAATATTGCATGTCTCTGTCAGATAAAACACATTTTTTGACTTGTGAATGAGTCAATGGAATTTCTTGCAATAATGAAAAAATACTGGCAATTATGTCTGCCTGGCACAAACCACATGTTTTGGACAGCTGTGAAGTGACAGAATGTCCCAGCATCATGGTTCTTATATTGCCAGATTCCAGAGAGTCTCCCCTCTTCATATATGGCAGAATATGTCAACTTCCAACTTGCTATGGTGAGATACATGTAAAAATGTAAGAATGTAGTCACACGGATATGTTTTTTTCATTGATATAAAAATTAATATAAAATACAGGCACATAGAAGGACATGGAATGATGGCAAATCTGGTTAGCCCAGATTGTCCTGGAAAAAAAACAAACAAGATACAGCATGTGTATGTAGCATTTATAATGACTGTGATATGAGCTTAAAAGTAAAGGCAGTAAAAATACCCCAAAAAGGCCTAGGGCCCATAGGGTTAAAGTGGTCACATCCACACTGATTAATTATATTTTAAGTGCACTTGCAGTCAGTGGCACACAACTAGTGGTCAGCCAACTTTCATCAGAGGCTATGATGTATGTCTGTGAGGTTAGGCGCTGGGGTCAGCTGCAAGGCCAGTCCGACAGCAGGTAAAGGCAGGAAGCCTGTCTATGAAAGGTGGCACTTGGGACGTGAAATGTCACCCCTCTGGGAATGAAGACACTTGAGCATGTGGTGGAGTGAAGCAATACCAAGTAGATTTAGTTGGGCTCACCTTTGTGCACAGCACTGGTCTTAGAACCAAAGTCCTGGATGGAGACTTTACTCACTCCTATCTCCTTTTCTGGGCACTCATGTGTAAAGTCACAATTCCCTGACTTAGCCATGCTATGTATTGCTGTAGTTTGATGAATAATAGTTATTTTTAGAGCGAGAGATAACACATATGTAGTGCTAGACATTTATTTTATACCGTAATTTCAAGTTTGTGACTTGTAAATAAAGTGTCAACATCCAGGTCGCAGTTACAACTGGGAAATGTATTTTTCTGAAAGCAGCTGTATATCCAACACTTACTAATACAAAAGTACCTGGGGGAAACAAAACAACAAATATCTATGCCTCACATCTAGGGCCGGGCGAAATGGCCTTTAAATAATATTGCCTGCATGGGCTTACAATATATATCTTTGAAATCCCCTTCAGTCTCCTCTACTGTTCACTACTAAAATACTTTACTTCTAAATAAACTACTGTCACAAGAAAATTAAATAGAATACTGTTATAAAGAAGTTAAAGTACTGTTATAGTAAAGTTAAAGTATTGTTATAAGAAGTATATGAAATTGTTCAAAGCAGAACCACTGATGCTGCTACACTGAAGCATCCGGTTCATCTCAGGCTGGAAGTGATGATGTTTTCACTGTGACCTTGAAGCTTCTGTCCAACAGTTGGATGTCAGCAGTTAGCACAAAGTTATACCTTTACAGCCACACCGTCAAACATGAAGATTGATTAACTGTGAAATGGAAAGAAACTAACTGCTCTACAGTTCATATATTATTTGCAAGTAGCACTGGTGCTCCATGGTAAAGCTAAATGGATGCAATCTGGAGCCCTGTGCATGCCTCACCTGCTCACACTATCCCACTATGTGATAAAACCCAACTGGACAGTGTTATTTTGTCAGTGCACAGTATTTTAAACGATTAATTCTGTGATCATAAAACTGCCTAGCTGACGTGTGGCATGTCATTTGCCTGGGAATTTTTCCCATCTGCAACAGCAGTATGGCGGCTGTCCAGTAATATCGGCTGATTATAGCTTATTGTAGATATATTCATCTGTCAGTGTATGTATCGGCCAATAGCACAACAAAAATGCTAGAGATCTGTTTGAAATGAATCTGTAAAATGTCTAGTTCAGTACATATTTTGGTCAAGATTCTTTAAATAAACAAATGTAAGGGATCAAAAATGTATGTGAAATAAATAAACATAATCTCATATGTGATTTATGTTATCTGATTTTCTGAAAATCTTAAATATTGACATTGGTATCTCCCGGGGGAAAAAAAGACAGCGCTGTTTTTTCTGTGATGCTGAGCTACAGAGGTCGTTCTTGACTTTAGAGGCAGCAGCTAATGCAGATGGATTTTGCCCAGTTGTTGGACATGAACACTGACAACTGTGCAAACTCCATCTGCTGATGAACATCATGTAATGATCTCCAGCTCCAAAATAACTAATAATGGACTGTCAGGGGAGATTGTTTTGTCATTTGTTGTGCTATTTTATATGAGATTTCCCCCTGGATCTCTGGATGTGTATATACAGTATAGTATATTGAATATATATGGTTTCTTTAACAAACATGATTAGTGGCCGCAGAGGCAGACAAAAGAAACTACACTTTCTACCTATATACACACACATGTACATATGGTGTAATAACTCATCCATCCTTGCCACCTTCCATTACGCTCTGGTACATTCCGTCCCTCCTGTTTTTCCCCTCGTCTGTCCTTATCTTGCTTCCTCACTTTCTACTTCTATAGCCTCCCCTCATCAAGCAGTCTCATCACAGCCTCGCTGCCTGCAGGTGATATTTGTATGATTGTACTGGTTTGTCTTGTTGAATTAGATTTTGCTGCTTCCTTGCAGGCACCTGCAATCTTACATAAAATATGAATACAGGGAAAAAGAAGAAATCACACACTTCAATATTTTCCTCACCACACTGTCACTTGTTTAAAGCTCCTATAGAAGCTCTATTTTTTTTAGTGTTTAGTGTCTCTGAGTACAATTTTTTTTCCTTGTCTGTCCAGTTTGACCTCTGGGACCTTTTCCCTTTGGTAGTTATTAC